ATACCTGTTTAAAGAAACTTTTCAGCTCAGTCTGGCCACAGCACACTTGCTAGAAGCATGCACTTCAGGAAATGTGTGCTAAAACTGTCTGGAGAAGACTGTGCACAGCCATGCAGAGAGCCAAACATGCTTCAATCATTCCAGCATGCAAAACACAAGGGTGCTTGAGGGATTAGACTTAGGAGAGCTCAGGGTGAGAAGCTGCAGATAAAATGCACACAGGGTTTTCATGCATCACACACAGCACATTCAGGGAACGGCTGGACTGCTTCCCATTTACACAAAATAGCCATTTTTCAGGTGTTACACAGATTGCAGAGACCGATGCTAAGAACTGCATCTCCCTGCCTTTGTCATCCAGCTTTTGGGATGGCTCAAAGGTGCCAAGATGCCTTGGGAATAAACCAGCACTTCCCTTGGCTTTTTGCACCTCATCCCCACGCAGTAGAGAAAGCAGATGAAAGCAGGGAAATTTTTGCTTCTTGCTACTAAACCCTCTTCTTCCATCCCCAGAAAACAGATGAACTTATTTTCATTTCAAACTTAACTATAGCTCATCTTCAATGCTCCCTGAGATTCAGAAGAGGATGTTAACAGCGTTACAACACATGCTTGTGGAGAACACAAGCTTTTGAAAGACATGTTTCAGCTCACCCCAGGAAAATAAAAAATGCAGTTTCTCAGTAACCTGAGGTTCATCCTCAGCTACAGGCCTGAAGGTGCACACCTAGAGTTGGGGGCTAGACTGCACGGACCAGAACAGACCAGGGAAAAGCTGTTACTTCCACCAGGGGCAGAGAAGAAATGCCTTTGTGTCAAGAAAACAGTTCTGAAAAGAAACATAAAAGGTCTTTGCTTGTCCTTCAAGAGTTCTTTAGAAACCAGAGATGAAGAAGAATGCAGACTTGCAGAGGAAACACAGAGTTTGGAATGTCTACGGAGTCACTAAGCACTTCTATTACTCTCCCATCAACTCCTGTTGGCCCTGTTGGCCAGAGCTCTTAGTCAATGCAGCACTTGCAGAGGGTGGATGAGCTCGATCTGACATGGAAATGCATTCAGCTTCTACAGCTCCTCACTCCTCCGAGCTGGGTCGAGGGCAGGCAGGTCCCCGCCGGCACAGCCGCCAAGTTTTAAAACTAACAGCAGTAAGAAAAAAATAAACACTCTCTTTCTGTGAAGAGTATGTCCAAGAAAGCTTTTTAATTCTTCTCCTTGTTTTCAAGCTGAAAACCCTTCCCATTATCAGTAGGTGTTCCAGAGAATGCAGCAACACAAGGGAACTAAAACAGACGGGGCTCTGAGCAGCGATTCCGCTTTGAAAGCGGCACCGGGTCATCCCGCTCCGAGCAAGTTTAGACGACGTGGTGGGAGAAACACTGCTGGCTGCTGGAACCTTGCCTAATGTAAGCAGTCCTGCTGCTACCCTCAAAAACACTGAGACATTTTTTTCAGTGACAAGTTCTGTACCAAGAACTCAAAAACTTCTCTCTGGGTTTCATGGCACCGGGAAAATGTCACGAGAATCTCATTTTCCAAAATACAGGAACCAAAATTTCCTGTCCAGCCAGCTGCAGCATGGCTGCTTCAGTGGTTTTGTTGCTGAGAAAACCCAGCAGAAAGATAAACCAAGGAGGATGAAAGAATCGTTCCCAGAAAGAGAGGGCTGTGCATGTGCAGATAGTGTGGAGAAAGAAGAATCAGCATGACCTTTATGGAAGGGCATAAAAGAGATGAGCATCAGTCCTTGGAATTAGTGAATCATCCTGGGCTCACTAGTGTCCATCATCGTGATATCTGAATACTTGGGCAGAGGTCAATGATCAAAGCAGGCACGTTCAAGGAGAAAAAAAGACCACAAAGGGCAGTAAAAATGCTAGTTTGCTGAAGACCAGATTTAAACCTCACTGAACACCTCAGTTTTGCTACAGACAAAAAATGAAGGAACCCAGAATATCTGTTTGAAAGCTGATGCTTGAAATGTGCCTGGACCCAAAGGAAGGCACCACAAAATCCAGAATTACCCAAATCATACAACTCTGATCCATTGTAACTGTTTGAGAACAGCTATTGCAGGAGGATCCTCCTCCTCCTTTCCACAGAGAGTTCAGGATTTCCAGAAGGCAGCAATACACAGTTCTCCCATGATTATCACCACAGCCTTCTGCAGCTTTTTATTTTCAATAAGGCACCTGCTGCAATCTCAAACCCTTGATCAAAGCTGCCAAGGCAAAGCATGCATCTCTCAGAACATGCATCTCTCTTCCTTGTACTGTTTAATGTGGATTTGTGGTCTTCAAAACCGTAGTATTCCTCTGTGGGTTTAAATCTATGCTCTTGGCAAGTGTGGAGGAAGCAAAATCAAAAAGGGAATCTTTTAGGTCACTGAAGAGATTTGTAGCCAAGTGCTGGAGAACAAGGAAATAAGCCTTTCCTGAGGAAAAGCTGAATTACTTAACTGAAAACGGCTTTGAATTGCAAGACAGATGTGAAAATGCTGCATTCAACTACTTGCAGAAAAACCCCTCAGAGCCTGAAGCACCTCAGAAACACACCCCTCCTCACAGCAGGCTGGCTGGTGACACAGGTTTTCCCAGGGCTGGAGTTATTCCCATCACTCAGCACCACAGGACCAGCACTACCACCGAGCACACCAAGCCTAACTCCTGCCTTGCCCCAACACAAGTACCAGAAAATACAGCCAGAGCCTGCAAGTGTCACGTGCCAGCCTTTAGAAAAAGCAACCCCCAGCCTTTAGCCTTAGTTAGTCTTGCTGGAAAGTACTTAATGGGAATCTGCAATCAGTACTTTTCCTGAGATGCCCTTCTTCAAAAAGGACAGAGAACTTGAGCACGCTTCATTGCTTTCTCCTTCAGCTTCTGCTGACAGACGAGGCTGATTGTCCTAACTGTCAGCCATCTCCTCCCAAGCCTGCTAAGGATTCAAGGGCCAGGAAGATTAGTTGTCTGCTGAAGGATGCCCAGAGTTCCCCTCACACATGCTGAGAACGCTGTATAAAAAGTTGCAGTTCTGTTCTGGTGGCCAATTGCTGGTTTTCACTGGGCTGTGCTTTCTCAGAGATGCTACAAAAACAAATACTTGAACAAGCACTGTGGGCCAAGCAAGCCAGACAACTGGGAGCCCCAGGCCAGAAGGGAGTGCCCCACTCAGAAGGCATGTGAGAAGAAGCAGCTCAAAGCAAGCTGATGGGCTAATACAAATAGGAAGATGGTGAGAGCAGGTGTCAGCACCCACTGCAGCTTTCAAGGCTCTCTGTGTGTCGCTTGGTGCTGCCTGCCAGGCAGCTTTCATCCTTCTGGAAGCATATTTATCCTGCTTACATGAAAGGGGACAGTTTTGTAAAGCTATTGCAAAAGAATTTCAAACTAGCACAATATGATGCTGGAGACAAGGTGGAAAAGAGAAGGATGTAGGCACATACTGCCTGCCCAAATAAGAGCGATTTTAGAAACAAGAGGCACCACAACTACAAATCCCCCATGGCTTGCTGCAGCCCAGGACCACACAGGCTCCAGCTCCAGTGACTTGTGAAAATAATCTCCCCAGGAGAAAGAAAACACACAGGTATTAACTACTTAGAAAGAGATTTTCAAAGGCTCTTGATATCCAGCTGGTCTTGATTCATATTGACTTCAACAAAATAGTCTTGGACCAATGGTGAGCGCTCTGAAAAACCCCCTCTATAACTTGCCATGGAGATATGAAAACAAGTGGCGTAAAAGAGATTGTTAGGAAAAAAAAAAAGAAAAAGATGACAAATTAAAAATGAAAGGTTAAAATAAAAGTTGGCTTCAGGCCATAAACTAGGGGGAAACTAACAGTAAAGATAGTTAAACGACTGGAAAGAGAACACAACAGGAGCTATGATGAAAAAAAGCTGAGGGCTTTTAAAAAGGGATTTGTATAGACAGCTGGGGAAATAAATTCCACATGTGACAGAAGTGCAATTGAGAAATTAAATAAATGGAAAATAAGGATGACTAAGTAGTAGTTACCATGCCCCTTCTCAGTTGTATACTATTATCACATCTATTTTTAATGTCTCTTCAGCTGTCTGCAATTGTCATCCTTTTTAAAGAACTTGTTCCAACGCTCTTTGATACTGAATTAGCTGTTTTTCACTCTCCAGTGCTTACGACCACATCTTTTCTTACACAACACTCCCCTTTTCCAGCCATGTTATTCCATTGTCTCCGTTTTTTCATCTCCCCCTATGTGTTGACTCCCCAGTTTCTGAGCTTGCCAACTTGCTCATCTATTTTTTCTGGAGCTCTTTTGGTTGAATCCTAGCATGTTTCTTTTCTTCTTTTCTAAAGATACAAGTATGTTTTATGTCATATCTGGCTACTGTACACATTGTTACTCCTTCAGAAGGCCACTGAACAGCTTGGAAATAGTAAGCTAAACTAAGGGAAAAAAAGAGAAGTTCTTTCTGGCTTTTGCTTTCTGGTTCTTAAAAAAAGAACCCAAACATTTAAACTCTCCCCTTTTCCTTTTTAACCTCAAATAACTCAATCTGTGCACGAGCAGCTGAATATTCAAACAATAACAGGCATCAGAAGCATTTGTGATTCTAGAGCCCAGGATGTGTCTAAGCAGAAGAGATAACATCAGATTTAGTAAGACTGAAAAAAATGCACAAGTTCTTACATGATTTCTGGGTTACTGAGTGAACCTGACTTCTTTAAAATCTTCTTCCAAGTGTGCCTGTACTCTACGGCTAAAGATCTTCCACCTCCATATTAACTTGGGAGACTTTAGTATTTATGAAAAAAATCCATTTCCAAATGCTTCAGACAGTCAAATTCACCACTGTGTGATGCCTCAGACCATTTGCCTTCATTAAAAGACCAGTCTTTAATTTCTCTACTTCAGCACAACTCTCTTGACCTTCTGTATGCAAAGCCAACAGTGTAGCTGAGTTGTACTTAACACTGCTCTTTGGAGCAGGGTTTTCAAAATTCAGACTTCCACCTTACCTTCAGCTGTGCCCGAGATCCCATCAGCTTTGAAGTTGCTGGTGCTTTTCTTCCTACGGTGCTTCTTTCTGTTGGCATGAGGTGAAGGAGGTGGATCGAGCTTGGGGCTTGTTGTACTGGATATACTGGGACTTGAGCACACAGAATCTCCTAATCCGGTATCTGCAGTTTAGGGGGGGCAAAAAAAAAAGAAGGAAAAATAAAAATACTGCATAATTCGAATTAATGATTGCTAGAATCCAAGCTAGAACCCTTGGTATCTATTAGCAGCTGACTTCTTGAGCTCACTGACTTCCAAAGGCTACGGGAGAGCTTCTTAACAACACCCACTGCTTTTTCAAAGAGGTCCAAAAAAGCAACTTGTCTGAAGTTCTGATTCCAGCCATATTAAGTCAACAGGACTCTGCATCAATTTTAGAAGCAGGCCAGCTGGAACACAAAAAACAATGGGAAATCACTTTATTACTCCCAATTGCTGCTTCTTACCCAGATCTTACTGCTCCTCAAATTAACTTGTGTCACGCTAGGACATTTTAATACATAACAGAACAGAAATACCCCAACACCCCCTGAAGACTCACTGCTTTCATTAATATTAGAGACAGACACACAGGGAAAAGGTGCTGATGGCAATAAAGGAGGGCAAATAAGGTAACTACTATGTGCCTGATACAATTAATAGTGTGGGATAAAGGGTCACTTATTACTGGCTCCCAATGACAAAAAAAATAATAAAATCCCATGTTTAGTGTGTTCACTTTTCCACTGCATTGGCCAGGGTAGGATAACATGCAACAATTTTAAGAACTAATTGCCAGAGTAATTTTCTCCCCTCTCCCACCAATTAGCTCGCCTAGCCCAATAAAAATTCAAGGTTGATGACACCTCCTTCTCACAGAGACCCACAGCCTGTTCCCTGGCCCACGTAATGGCTGGGGATAGATGAACTGCTGCTTTTTCAGTAGTGCTGATCTTTTTCAGTCAAGAAACATCCAACTGCTGTATTTCAGAAAAGTTCAGCAAACGATGATGTACTTGAAATTACTCCATGTGACTCCTTTCACACGGCAAATACTTAAGGAACCTTAAATCCCCACTTTTCCCCAAGGCTGGCAATGTATTTTCAGTTGACCTGCAATTGATCTTTTGGTTATGATTAGTACAAAATGCATTTCTGCTTTGCTGGGTTGGTATTGGTTTTAATAATAAAATTTAACAGAACATCCTACACTTGACTTCAAGCGCTTGCTCCCACGCAAAGTGAGGCTGTTTCCAAAACCTTGGGTTTTGTCCCATATTGCATGTAAGATGAATAAATATTTTAGAAAAATATCAAGCCAAGACTATGTACAAGGTAGCTTCTGATTTTTTTGAGTAGTTAAATCTCTACACAGCTGCCTGTTTGACAAAGAAATAGTTCTGTTCTTCCCTAATACACTTCACTGACTAATATCCAGATGCAAGTTAGCTACTGCATGTCTTAAATATTTACCTCCAGTTTGAGACTAAAGGTTTCCTATGTTGGGTACTGAAAAGGAAGAAAAACCCCCCACCAAAAACCCCCTCCTTTGCAGCAACGACATGAAAATTGCTGCGTTGAGACGGGCCATAGTGCAGCCAGGTGCTGGCAAGGAAGGGGCCTGGCTGTGCCAGCAAGGCCTGCCATGGAGCACCAAAAATGCATCTTGTTGATTTTCACACTCCTGTGAAAATCCAGAAAACTCGTAAATATAATGGGAAAAAAATTCCAGAGAGCACAGCAGCCAGGAAGGCCTGCTCACATCTACTGTAATTTCTCAAAATGCTTCGGTGTTTCCCCTCAGAAAAGACAAGGCAAGCAGCACAGGGACAGGCCTCATCTGCAGCTTTCACTGTAGAAAGAATTATTCCATTTGACGCAAAGGGACAAAAAGACCCCATCATGTCAGCTCTCACAGCTCGGAGGACTTCTAATTGCACTGGGGAGAGAGGGCAGGGAGGAAGGCCCATTGCTGGGAGAGGAAAAGCCAGCTCTTCCACACTCTCCCCTCCTCTCCAAAAGCTCATTCCCACGTATCAGCGAGGCCAAGGCACATGCCAAAGCCACCAGTCCCCAGGGCAGGTGTAGGAGGAGCGTCCCCCCCCCCCCCTGCCACTCCAGGTTCAACCACCACGCCCCGATCCTGCAAACAGTGATGAAACTGCATCCTGCCACACCAATCCCAGGCAGGATGCCAGCAGGATCCTGGTTAGGAAACGGGGAGGTAGATCTGCACGCTGGCTGCAGCTCGGCCTCGTGTCAGGGCTATAAATTGCACCGACAAAACCTTCTCACCAGCGCTGAGAAATGAGGAGCGCGCGGCTCGGCCACGCACGTTGGGGAGCTGAAGAATTAACCTCCTGTGGTAAAACCCCCACGATCGCAGCCCTTTCCAGGTAATAACCTGCCGTCCTTGGGTCAAGCAGCTCGGAAGTGAAGAGCCCGACGCCTTCCCTCCCCCTCAACCAGCAAAGAAACACGAGTCGCTCGTAAACGGGTGTCGAGCCGATATTGTCGGTGTATTAATGCCCTGTATCCCGGGTTTCGGAGACCACCCTTTGAAGATGGAAGTTATTTAACATGCTCCCAGTTTAAAATATGAGCAATCAGAAGGCGCTGGGCTCGCACGCTGTGCTTTCCCATTTCCCACTACTTCTCCTGCCTGACAAGGTATTCTTCAAATTGAAAAGAGGGCTCCTGAAAGCCCGGCTTCGGAAAACTGTAAATGAGTTCAGGCTTCAGCCCGCTGAATGCAATTTCATACTCCTGACTGAATACAAATAATGCATTTTATTTTGTATCAATTACCACGCCTGAGAACAGACGACCACTGCCGGCGCTATTAAATGTAAGGGGGTGGGGGGGGGGGGGGTTGAAAGGAAAAAAAAAAAGGCCCGGAAAAAGGGAAGCCAAAA